GTTCTTTGTATAAATAAGTCTTTGGTTTACGCATTCATAATTGCTGAGATAAACATTGTTATCATTTATATCTTCGCAATTGCTAACGCACTTTATATAAAGTAATTTAGGGTCCCATAACCGAAAAAAAGAAAAGAACCCAGATGACCACTGCTTTGAGGGAATGGACGTAACAGAACTTTTGAAAACTGTAAAAGCAAATTAATATCTTTTAAATAAATTGTCCTTTTTCAAGGAATGAAATCACAATTTTGAATCTGCATATTAATATAAGCGAATGTTACATTAATCTCTATCTTGAACTTAACGTAATTAAATTACTTTCTCCTATTACCCATATGAAGGTATATAAAACATTAGATCATAAAAAATGCATAATTACATCGTGAGGAATTAGTTCAGAATTTAGATATCCAAAAAGTCATCTGTCATTTTGTAATGTCTGATTTGTCGATGATTGTAGAGGAAGTGCCAAGTGAATCTGGAAATATTTCGCTTAGTCATGGCAAAAGTCCAAGAAAGGTTAATGATGAGAATTACAATTTCACTCGGAATATTTGCAGTCATTACTATTTTCTTTCTCCTTATTTTCCGCTTTAAAGGTATTTAACACGATTATCCAGTGATTCTTCCACAAGATACTCGATAATTTTTACACATTTATCAGATAGAAGCGAAAATATTCGCTGGTTTGGAACAATGTAGTCGTTTGGAAAAATGTATTTAATGAGTGATTTGCATGCAAACAAATATATTTAGTTTTTAAAAAGCAAGCATTTTATTTTTTAAGTCGAAACTCTATCAGTCGAAAAAAAAAGAAAATGAAAACATTTTTTTAAAATTACGTAGGAATTAAAAATTTTAAGGAAAAATAATAGAAGTTTCTGATTATAGAGGAAAGACATAGATATTGTAAAAAAAATTTAAAAAGGTAATTAATCGATTTATTTTCATTCTGAAATCCAAGTATTACAAAAAGGAATTCTAAGAAGAAATGAATAAACCATAAGAACTAAATGATTAAATTGTGGCAAACAAGAGAAAAAGCACTGCAAAAAAGTTTTTCAAAATTGAGCATAACACGGACAAATTAGCTGAGAAACAAATGAAATAAGAAAAGCCCATTTATTCAAAATTTAAACAGCATGAGCAAAACACATAGCCTCAAAGGTGATGAGGAAGAAAAAATGTGTGAGAGATATGTTTGCCGGCATTATTATGGGAACCAAAGACTCGCAGAATCTAAGTCTTTGCCTCTGTAGAATCTTAGATTCTTTGCAGAATCTAGTAGAATGCTCAAACCACATTAGTTGAGCACTCCAAACCAGGAAGAGTTATATAGTGGCAACGGCAATGAAACATCATTAGATTTTAACTGCCAATTTCAATCGTACAAAAGGTTCCAATTTGAAAAATATGGTCCCAATAGTCAGGAGATTGGTAATTATAATTTCACCTTTTGCTTATTTTACTATACCTCAAACAATTTTAAGTAAAAGGAATGTATGTCATGATGTGTCTCTGCGTTGTTCACTATATAAAGCTTCCCAACTTTCTTCGGGATGGGGTGCACAATTATGGTGGTTTGGCACTGTTAAAAATTTATTGAGAATTGCGATCTATTTAATTGTAAAATTTATTGGCTGAATTGCAATCTATTTAATTGTTGTTTTACCATATTTAAACAAAACAGTCATATAACCATAAAAAAGATGGTAATGAAACTATTAACAGTGAAAAAAATCATTTGTTAACTATTTTGACCTAAAATTGTTAAATAACAAGAATTTTATAGCACCAACAAAACCCACTTAATAAAGCAACTTAGTTTCTTTCAACTGAGTGCATATTATAGCCGAAAGAGCTAATCTGTTAATCTCATGATCTACAGATCGAGGGGTCGAGTCCCAGCGTCGACACCTCCATTCCCTTTAACACGCATGAAAAATTTCCAGTCTCTGCACTCTCAAATGCCCGTTGTAATGAGAAACTTAGCTCCTATGTACAATTAAATCTCTTTTTTTACGGTTTTAAAACCATAGTAGCTGTAAATGTTTAAAAACCCGTATAGTTTTGTATTCAAGATTTTATAACCATACTAGTAATAAACGGTTTCAAGACAGTAAAGGTGAAAAATATTCTTGCAGTAAACTTTGCTGTATATTGGATGGATTGACAGCTACCATAATTTTAGAATAAAAACTCTAACAGTGTAGTATGGCTACTGCGAACCTGGTGTTTCTTGGTTAGAGTGTTGCCAGCAGCCAAAAAAAACAACTCTTCCACCACAGGGTGTTTCTTTAGTTACGTGTGTTACTTTTACATGACATATTTCAACTTTAACACTCATTATAAAAACTTATTTGTATTAATACCATTGTTTGCTACGGAGCAATTTTCACTCAGTTTTTTGAGAATTTTTTTTTTAACTTTGAATATGGAAAATGTCAATGTGAGATTGAACTAAATAGATCGGCTATCGATTTTAAAACAAGGATTAGGTGCAAGAAACATTTTGGAAACATTCTATGAAATGAATACAAATAATTATCATCTTTTTGTAGATTTAAAATAAGCTTAAGTTTAAATAAATAAAGAAATGACGCTGCAGGCATTGCCCGAGTCGTATGGTTAAAATTGAAATTGATTTAATTTTGTCGTTTGATATGACTTTCCTGTGCTGAAAATTAGAAAGTATTTAATAAGTTAATAACTTTATCCGCTCTAGCTCCATAGCTTGTTCACATTAACCCCTTGAAGTTGGGGGGGGGAGAGATCTAGTATGGACAAAAACAACCCTTTTTAAAATTATTTTTCATGGAAAAACTAAGAACTCAAATTATTGTTAAAAAAATACTTCAAGGGTTACAAATTATATTAATCATGAATTTTTGACTAAGTCCTAAAAATATCTGCACTAGCCCCCTCTTCCCAACTATTGTCAGTAGAACTACAGAAGTTTTGACTTTTGCTCATGAAGTAGTTTAGATGGCTTGGAGAAAGAAGACTTTTATTGGCTTGCTTAATAAATTGACTGGCGAAGCCATTGTTTTTAGACTGGAAATAAATTTAAGAGAGATAATGCATGATTATGGATAGTAAGGAAACTGATACAAATATTGAACTGAATATAAACTAAAAAATAAAGAGCGAAAAAAATACGGAAAGTACTTGGATTCAACTTCAACTAAAATCATTGATATAATGCCAAATGTAATTAAACCAACAGTTATCTTATGGGTCAGAGATTTGGAACCTTGACCCAAAAACAAGAAAAGATTTCAGTCAACTAGTAATAGAAACTAGCGGGAATTACTTTTGGTCCAATCCACGAAAGAATCCAATGGTTGGAAGAATAGAAGGATGGGATGCTAGTAAGTTCACAAAAAAGTGCTGTAATGGTCAATGACGCGTCCAACGAAAGCGGAGAAGATCGAAATTGAGATCATTGCTTGGGTTCAGGAAAAAAATTATAGCATTTTGAAATAAAAACAAGAGGCTTTGGAGTAGAATTGTTATGAACGTTATGGTTCAATATGGACTGTAGTACCAAAGAGTAGATAACTAAATAATGATGTGACTAAATAAACTTATAACTAAACTGTTGTATAATACCCATTATGAACGTAATGAGTGAGAAATATAGCTGTAACATTTCGTTTTTAAGTTCTTTAAATCTGTAAGTGTAAAACAAGTGTTTTCATAGATCTTCCATTCACTTCCGTTATTTTCAATAATATTTTAAGAAACATGTTTGTTGTGCAGAAAAACAACAAATCTAAGAAAATCCCCGCTTAAGCACTCAATGGGTGTTTAAAAAAAGTTTTTAACCGTTTCCCTAACTATCCCGAGTTAACTCAGGTATCACAAATATTTATTATCCCGTGTAAATTCGGGCACGTTTTGTTTTATCACGTTTTTATTTGGCCGGAACCAAAAATAATCTTCTGTGATTGGAAGTTTGTCAATTTTTGATTACGAGTTTTTCTATTTGTGAGTACGTGTTTTGTACAATTGTATATATGATGCTTGATGAATTTACATAGAAAGAAGAGTAAAAAAATGGCATTCGTGAACGACAAGTAATGCAGATGATTTTTCAGATTATGAAGATGTGAACATATACAAAGACTAATATTTAACTTTTTTCACTTGTCCGAGATAATTTAGCATAGTAAACTGATGGTAAATTAAATATTTTTTACTGATGAAAAAAATAACATTTCAACATAAAACTTGTGTAATATATATGTTTTAGTTCCTTGTATTTATTAATGAAATAAAAAATAATTATCTATTTTTTTTCAAACAGGAAAAAACAAAATGTATATAATTGTTTGAATAAAAATTAATTAGAGTTCAGCTAGATATATTGAAAAATTATATTAAAACATGCCGTATAGTTCAAATGCAACTCGTAAATATTTGCTGAGTTAAGTGAATTTACTTTCATTGAAATTAAGAAATATTATAGATTCGCTTACATGTTGACAGGTATTTTAAATGTTGTTTACAAAATTTAACAGTACTAGTAGAATTCCTCTGTGAAAATAGTAAGAGAGTTTTACAAGTCGATAGAAATATAAACTTAGGAACGTATCTCATGTTTATTTTCAGGATGAGATAAATAAATCAGACACATATTTAAGCGTAAAACAAATAAGAAAATAACGTTAATTAAACAGTAAGATAACAAATCGTTTTCGTGCATGATTTTTTAAAAAAAAATAATTAATTTTGATCGATAGTTGAAATAAAAATACTCTCTATAAATTATGTTTACATCTAGTAACAATTGCAACATTTTTTTCAAGCTTTAAAAATAATTATATTTCGTTTTTAAATAAATTAATTTGAAATTTATCGATACTATATAAGGTTTTCATTTTTCAGTATATGATTCTCAACAATTCACGATTTTCATTTTATGTAATAAACTTTTCAGAACATGGTATTATAACTGAAAAATAAAACTGGAATGCTTCTTATTTCTTTTTCAGCTATTTTCAATCGATTGTTACTTTCGACAAACTTGGTTTGATACTCGACTGAAATTTAGAAGCGGAAATTTAACAGTTTTATCCATGGATTGGAAATTTTTACAAAGAATTTGGACTCCAGATACATACTTTTTAAATGGCAAAAGCTCGTATCTTCATAAAGTTTCTGCTCCCAATAAATTTGTTCGAGTAAGAAATGATGGACAATTAAAGTATTCTATGAGGTATTTTTAAATAACCAATAAAATTGCAATAATATTTAATGCAATTTGATTAAGTAATCTATTTCAATAATACTTAAAAAAATAACTATTTCATTTTTTTCAGATTGACAATACAAACAAATTGTCCTATGCATCTACGAAAGTATCCTCTTGACAAGCAAGCATGTCCTCTTGTAATTGGAAGTTGTAAGAAATAATTTCAAATTTATTTTATATTATTATAAACTATGCGCTCTAAAGGTATTCTACTTTTTTAGTTAATGTGACCTTTAAACACCCCTCTTATGTACACATTTCAAATAATAAATAAATATATATTAATGCATGCAGTTTTAGTCACAAACAAAGAAAATTTAACCTTTACTTTATTTTCGAAAGCAACGAATTATGAATTTAAAGTAGGACTTAAATCATTGGGACTCGCGTTGTAAAAATATGTACTTTATTTGACATACATTATTGATGCCTTAAATTTAACTATGATTTTAAGTCTAGTTAATTATAAACTACTTTTATTAATTAAAATATATATCCAAGAAGAATTTATGCAGCTACAAGTCAGGGCTAAAGAGAATACAAGGGCTAGTTCACTCCGCTCTTAGAGCTGAAGCTACGATTTCCCTCCTCATGACGTCACNAAGGAGTGAACCAGCCCTTCTATTCTCTTTAGCCCTGGCTACAAGTAACGCATGTGGCATCCAATTCAAAATTTAATACCTGAAAAGTTAATTGCAAAAATTTTAAATATTTTAGTAATTAAAACAATTTTTAATTTATTCCTAATCTGCGAAATTATCGAAAGTGACTCCCCATCCGGAAAAAACTTAAAGGCCAGTTTAGAAAGTATATAAGAGGAATATAGGAGAATGTATTTTAATTGGTTTTTAAAAAAATCAGTTAACTTTCAATATTAATCATCCAATTTTGTATTAGAAAATTTTGTTCAAAAATTTACACTTCAAGATTAATTTTGTGTGTCAGTAGTTTCTTAATTTCAAAATTGTAAAAGTTTCAATCAATTTATTTTTTAAAGCTATTTAGAAGGAAATTCGAGCTTATATTGAATGGCAATATCATTATATCGAGCTTATATTGAATGGCAATATCATTATAAGCCTCGTACAGTGGCTTAGTTGTTAATGCACTAAATTGTCTCGATGAAGGACAGGGGGTTAATTAAAGAATAAACATAGGGGAAGAAATCTAGATTCTATTGACATAATGTAAACAAGTCCCCCAAGGTTAGGTGTGGTCCCTGTGTGTAAAGGAAAAAACAACATTTAGGGTAAATGAATTTAAAGTTGAAACGAGTTTAATTAAGAGAAACAAAATGCGCCATAATATTATTTTTAATATTAAGGATTAGGAAAATTAAATCCTAGTTGCTTCGAATTAAAATTTCAATGATAAGCGAAATTTTTTTTTCTCTTTTTATTAATCTGTAAAAATATTTAATAAAAATCATTCTTATTTTTTACTTTATAAGATAAGTTTCATGGAAAAACTCGAGTAGCGAGTAATAGAAAAATAAGTTTTGAAATATACTTAACAAAATGGAATATTCTTATTCTTATAAATTCAGGACAAAATTTTTAGATTTTTTAATTAAAGACTATAATTTTGAAAAACAGAATTTGCGGTAAACCGTTCCCATATGAACGGAAAAATTACCAAGTGAATGGTTTAAATACTGTATAGTTAGGCTTTTATTACCAGAATTATGTGTTTTCTTCACTATCAATATCGTTTCCATGCAGTGCGGTAATTTTAGCAGAATGTTTTTTCTCTGTATGTTAATCAAATAGAAGCATGCAAAATTTAATTTAATTTAAAAGAATATCAAAAAGTATATGCAATTAATTTATTAGTTTTTAAATTACCAGAAGTTACTTAGATTTAGGAATCGTCTATTTTTAAAAAGAAGTTATTCGGGAGTTGCAGACACTATTTCACTGTCTTCTAGACTCTTTGAGCAGGAAAAAAAAGCTCCCGTGGATCAGGTCGCAAATTCGCAAGTTTATCAGTAGAAGATGGGAGGCATCAGTCAAAATGTCTGTAATTAATTTAGTGCAGGGAAAACAATTCTCTCAAAAGTCGAGAGTTATGATCAGCAATTAAGAATGGTTGAATTTGAAAAACCAGAAGTTCATAAAAGCCCAGGAAAGATTACTCATTCTATATAAACAAAATTACGAATTTCTAATATTTCCCTCAATTCAAACACGCAGATTCTGTAGAGATTATCTCCTTCTTACTGAGCCTGAAATTTAAAAATAAAAATTAAAATGATTGGTTTTTCATAATAAATTAAGAAAATATTTTTTCACACAAGATAACTTCAATTGTGTGTTCCAGGAAAACTAGTTTTTAACTAAGCAAAATTGTTTTCCAGTTGCTTATACTTCTAATGATGTTCGTTACCAATGGAGGGGTGAAACACCAGTAATAGTAGCTGATGATGTTACTTTATCGCAATATGATTACCTCAATATTACTCTTGCAAATCATACGGAAGTTAAGCCAAGAGGTATCAAAATATATTTATTTATTTATTAAATGTGTTATATACATAATATATATATATATACTAGCTGTACCCTGCGTGCGTTGCAACGCTTTCAATTTGAATTTGAATTTTGTATTTAAGTGTGTAAATGACATTTGCGATTATGATTTGAAATGCAAATTTTATTTAATGGTGAAAAAAAGCAGTTAATTCTCTAGGATATCATTAGTGCATTTTCAAACAGACATGTATGGTGATGCACACGGAGCATGAAACATATTTTGGACAATGATCTGAAATAAGACTGGATCTATGGTGACATCAAGAATTTCTGCTGATATCTGATCAGTTTTAGAAGGTGGTTTTTTTTCAATAAGCCAAATTAGAATGTGTGCCTGAGGCAATCCTCGTTTTTGCCATTCAATAGAGTACACCCAACACCGTGTCTCTCTAAAAACATGACGCTTCACAATGAAATCAAGTAAAGATATTGTTATTAAAAAAGACACACGTGCTGTAATATCATGACG